GATAGATAGATAGATAGATAGATAGATAGATAGATAGATAGACGGACGGAGGGACGGACGGATAGACAGATGGATAGATAGATAGACAGATGGACAGACAGACAGACAGACAGACGGATAGATGGACAGACGGATGGACAGACAGACAGACAGATGGATAAACAGATGGATGGATAGATAGATAGATGGACAGACGGATAGATGGACAGACAGACAGGTAGACAGGTAGATAGATAGATAGATAGATGATAGATAGATAGATAGATAGATAGATAGATAGACATTCACACTATTTATTTTGCTTGTGTATGTTGATCATGTATTTTTCCCTGTAATTTACACTGGTTTACTATGAAGCCACATTTTCTTGAGTTGCTCACACTGTAAAAAACTGTTAGATGGAGAGGAAACCTTTGTTTCGGCTTGATCTGACCCTTAACATTACATTTGTTGATATAACTAAATGTATTAAAGTTGATTTAGTCTTTGAACAATGTGCAGAAAAGTTCTCTGCGTGAGCACATCTCTGACCGATGAGTTCAGCTACAGACTGATCACGGCTATTGACGCTTCATCACCCATTTCAGCTTCTGCTAGTATATGTGATAATAATGATCTGGAGATGCTGCTTAAGGTATGGCATATTGAGGCATATCTTCAAGGTGCAAACTGCTGCTATTCTGACACAAAGGCCAGGCGGCTGATGGCTGAATGTGTGCTGATGAATGGCTCTCTGCTGCTAATGTGCTGCCATGTTAGAGGAGAACTCAAGTGAACATTTTACTCAACTCAAACCCAACGCGGAAGAGTATTTAAATTGTGCTCTAATAAAATGTAAAAAGGAACCTGGACAGAATCGTTTAAGGAGAGAAAGGAGATTGTGAAAGAGGATGCAGTGATCAAATGCACTGTGGATGGACTAAGTGAGATTTCAGCTAGACTGGACTGGTTTGCTCAGCGTTGCACATGTAAAGGAGCAGAGAGTCCTGACACAACACACGTTTCTCTTCATGTTTGCTGTTCACGACAGCTAGGGCTCAGTTTAGGGTATTCTGGGAGCTTTGATAAAGCATTTACCTTAAAAACTGTTTGGAAGAACATTTCACTTGCTTTTATTTTAAGTCTAAATAAAACCTTAAGGAGTAAGAAGTACTTCTTTACAATGCAAGATAATGAACAAGTATAAAAATGGCATTTGAGTAATACCAAATCCCCCAAAATAATGCTAAAATACAACACTGAATTATAATTATTCAGACACTTCACACTGTACCAACAGATACCAAAACAGATCTACAGTGTAAAGTCAAGTCAAGTCAAGTCAAGGCATGTTATGGATATAGTTTTTCATACTCAATTATTCAGAGTCCTGCTGCCTGTTAAATATGAATGAGAGCAAACACACGCTGAAGTCTGTGTAAGGAGCTGTGTATGGCACATATGGCAGCACTTGAGCTTGTCTTGCTCTGCCGTATGCTGCGGATCACAGGACTCAGGACTTAGATCTGCGTGACTAATTGGAAAGATAAAGAAACATGAGGACCAGGTGAAAGTTCAATGCCAGCCAATAACTCACTTACACACCGACTGCTGCGCTGTACTTACAATACATCCACAGACTTTCAAAGTTCTCCTTTGCCAATGTTAAAACATGGTTTATGCCAAGCTTTTAGAAAAGCATTTAGAATCAAATAACCCCCGAGGTTCTGTTTGACAGATGAACCTGTACAGGAAAGATACACACAGCTTTGTTTGACTATAAGCTCATCTCACAGACATTTTACATCAGGATAATGATGTTTATGTCCTAACCAATCTCGAAAATAACCTAAACCTGTGCAAAACACCACATTTAAATAGAAAAACATGAATTGGCCAAATCATGTTTTTCTATTTAAATGTGGTGTTTTGCACAGGTTTGGGTCCAGTTCACTAGTCTGTGTTCAACAGGTTTCCCTATATTAGTGAGGGCATTTTGGACCTCGCAAGTTTAGTCAAACCACACACACACACAGACAGACACACACACACACACACTCACACACACACACACACACACACACACACACACACACACACACACAGAGAAACA